TCAGAACTCCTGCGATGCCGAATCAGTCTTTGAATGGACATGGCAACCTGAGCTCTTCGACCTAGCTCCTGGTTCGACAAAGCCTTTCACGATAGCCGAAAGCACTGCTAAGTCAGTGTTTGTCTCCAGATTGCCTACTGTGGAGGTTATGCAGTCTTCTTGGCCGAGGATGCAGAAGGCACAAACAGGCTCGAGGATAAACACACATGTTAGTGTTGTCCGATGGCCGCGCAAAAGACTGAAGAGGGAGAGAGAGAGAGAGAGACAGAGCGAGACAGAAGTCCGGTTGCTGTCGAGTGGGGTGTTTTGACCTTAGTCTCCGAGGCGGGTTGGGGGTATTAGATTAGGTGGTTTTCGGACAGCAAACCGGTAACTGAGGCGTTGAACGGTCTCGGCCTATCTCCTGCACCGCGCGAGGGGCTTCGCGACCGCGTTGACCCCTCTGTCTGTGATGAAGAAGAGAGAGGGAAGAAGCAAGCAAGCGCGAGAGAGAGAGAGAGAGAGAGAGCGCGAGAGCGCGAGAGAGAGAGAGAGAGAGAGCCATCAAAGGGGGGGGTGGAGAGGGGAGTGAGTCCGTTAGAGCGGGTGAGTGAGTGGCTGAGTGGGTAGGTTGGGGCAGTTCTGCAATCAACGCATGCATGTGGAGCTGCCTGCGCGCCTGGTGCGGAGGGGCGCGATGCAGTGGAGCGATGCGGAAAGCTGCCGCCTTGCTTGAGGTGTAGGTAGGAACGAGGGTAGGAGTGCAAATGACGAGTCTGTCGAGACGTCTCAACTTGATATCTGAAAATATGGCGGGCAGGTCCCTGCTTGGCTATTCTGATGGCCATGCTTCCACAACCTTCGACATCCCCGCCGAGACGCCGGCGCTCATGCAGCTTTGACTCAAATCCAGGGGCCGAAGCCACATTCGTCCTACGCCCCTGCATCCCAAGCTCACTCGCACTGTTCTCAAACATTTGTTACGTGATGTTACATGTGCCTGTCTTGGACCAGCACCACGAGGCTCCAATCGAAAACCGGATTTCGTAGCATGTCTCATTGAAACAGCGAGCATGCTATGTCTTTACATCGTATACCTCCTTTCAAAACAGAGAATAGTTTTGATACTACTGAATTTTAGGGGTGTGTTTCAACCCACAAGGTCGAATGACAGTGCCGAGTATTGCACGCAAGGCTTGCGTGCTTACAATTTTGAACCCATGACATGGCAGATTTGTGGTGCTAAGTATTGCATACACTTTGCATACACTTCCCTGACTAATATTTGTTTCAACACTTCTCGGCAGAATATCTTTGATTCAATCCTCTTACGTCTTACGGATGCATGTTTGAATCATGACGGCGATTCGAGTGCAGACGAGTAGAAACAATGGTGGGTTATACATGTCAACCATGATGATGGCGCAAGTGGAGGCAAATTCGCGAACTAGAGTGATGAAGCATGCAATGCACTGCACTTGTTGGCGGCAATTATAACCTCCTGTACGAGTTGGTTGCCTTGGCGGTGAAGTTTGCCAACAGTAAGATCAAGCTGGGCATACGGCTGGATAAGGCTGCCTACCTGCAAGGTCTTGCCACGACCGACGGTGGGGAGTTTGTTGACGTGATGAGGAAGGCCAAGCAAGTGGGGTTAGGAGGCCGCTTGGCCAAGCGGCCGTGGCGCCCAATGCCAGCCTTGAAAGAGGAGCGTGGCCTTCACGCGGCCACTGCGCGTGACAAAGATCGGGTATGTATGGAGCACTTTGGGCTGCAGGGGTGTGGCACAGTGATCACGACTGAGGCCCTCCTTGCTGATGACTCCCGGACTGTGGCGATTGAGGACAACCTGCATGGCACCTCAGCGACCTACCAATATCGAGCTGGAGGCGGCGCTGAGACGGGCACCGCGGAACAAGGCGCCTGGATTGGACGGGATCCCTGGTGAAGTTTTGGCGGTGGCACCTGCGCCAATGGCAAGAGCACTTTTCCCCTTGGTCACCAAGGCGGCTCTCTTCCACAGGATGTTTCGGGATCGTGCGGGTCCGGTTCTTGGCGAAGGACTGCATGACTTTCAGATGGGGGCTCGGAAGAAGGCGCCGGTGCTGCTCCCTGCCCTCTACCTGCAGGATTTCCTGATCGAGATGCCAGAAAGCCATGGGCCAAGGAGCAGCAGTCATATTTCTCGACTACCAGATTGCGTATTACCGAGTCATTCGTGAGCTGGCAGTGGGCCAGATTGAGGCGGACAGTGACAGAGCGGTGGCCTACAGCTTCCGTGCCTGCGGGCTGCAGTCGGAGGACATGAATGACTTCCGACAGTGCATGCTGGGCGACGCGGACATGCGCCCGCCTCTGCGGCACATGGCAAAGACATGATGTTCCGGTCTTGGTTTGTCGCCAGACATGGCAACCATGAGAAAGTCAGTGTAACGATGGCTGGCTCCCGGCCAGGCTCCAGCTGGGCGGACATGATTTATGCTTCTGTGCTCAGTAGATTTCTGACCACCTTGCACGAACATGCCTCGGCAGAGGACCTACTCACTCCTGTTACGGTCATCGTGGACCAGGGACCGTTCGGGACTCCACATGCCAAGATGGAGGAGAGAAGATTGCTGCCAGAGACAGTGTGTGGGCGGACGACTGCTCTTTCTCGCTGAGCGATCCCTGCCCCCACCCCCGCCGTCTTCTGGCCAAAGTGAGTCGGCTGGGCTCGCTTATCATTGACTTTTCCAGGCGGCAGGGCATGCTCCCAAACCTCAAGCCAAAGAAGACGGCGATCATCTTGGCTATGCGAGGTAAAGGCGCGAAGGCGGCGAGAGCCCTTTGGTTTCCGAAAAGAAAAACTTCAGTTGCCCTGCCGGATCTTGGACTTGACACTCAGGTGCGCCCAGCTATGTGCATTTGGGTGGCCTCGTCGATGCCGAGATGAAGCAGGTCCAGGAGGCCCGCCGAAGTGGATGCCCACATCAGCTTTCGATGCGGGCAATGCCTACACTGGCGACCTACGCCCGGAGAGATCGTCTTAGCCTGTTGATGTCAATGTGTCATTCTGCCCCTGGGACTTGCAGTGGTTCAGTGCACAAGGTGATACATGGCCTGGACTTGCTGGTTGCCATCGGCCCGAGTGGAACCATGTCTTCAAAGAGGCCGAGCGACAGATGGCAACGCGGGCGTCGGATGACTTCCGCTGCTTCCAGCAGGAGCAGATGACCACCCTGGCGCTCTGGGCCATGTACAAGCGGGCCTGCCACCTTTGCCCTATAGAGCCAATGATGTCGTGGCCCCGTGGATGTGCCGAGTGTGCCGGAAGTCGATGCGTACAAGGGCGGCGTCGGGTGCACTTTTTCAAGATGCACCAGCGGAAAGCGACGTACCGAGAGGTCACTGGAGGCACCAAGTGTGGCACCTGACAGTACTGGGGGCGTACAAGACTTGCCGTCGACTTCAGAGACTCCCCGAGCAATTGCGTCGACTTGGCAAGCCGACGAACTTCTTTCCTTTTGGCTTGGGCAGCAAGGCGGCTGAGGCTGACTACACGATCTCTGTCCCGGAAGCCCAAGGAGATGCTCACCCGTCTACTACGATGGGCGTCGTGGACATCTTCGAGGCCCTGGGTTTCGACGTGGCGGATGTTTGCGGCAACGGCCTCAACGACTTCTGGTCAGAGAACGGCACATGCACGCTCGTCGAAACACTCGAGACCTTGACGGCTGCGGACTGGAGTGACGGGTTTGCGATGGACGGGTTTCCGCCAAAATTCGAAACCCTCCGTGCCTTTTCAGGTCTGGTAGACAGTCTTGAATGGGCAAACCTCGTTGGCTGTGAAGGAGAGGTGCGCAAGACCAGTGCAGGTCCCTCTGTACACCTGGACGGCGACTGGGAAGCTGCATGACGCCGTTCCAGTGAGGGGCTGGAGCTAGCAGCCGTGCAATGTGATTATTGGAGCATTTTGCCGGAAGCTGTGAGGGAGGCATGGGAAAGTGTCATTACAGGTGACAAGCCCCGCATACAGGCCCCTGATGGCTTTTGGAAACACCGGCTCGCCAAGCCGCGGCTAGATTCTGCAAGTAGTTACGCTTCGAACAGACCCCTGAGAGCCTGCAAAGCAAAGCATACATCTTTATATCATGGATCTCTCAATCTCTCTCCGCTCTCTCTCTCTCTCTCTCTCTCTCTCTCCCCCTCTCTCTCCCCTTCTCTCTCCCCCTCTCTCTCCCCCTCTCTCTCTCTCTCTCTCTCTCTCTCTCTCTCTCTCTCTCTCTGTCTGTCTGTCTGTCTGTCTGTCTGTCTGTCTGTCTGTCTGTCTGTCTCTGTGTCTGTGTCTGTGTATTTGCGAGTAGGAGTGGCCCCTGACGCTGGACAGGGGCTGGAATCCGGAAGATGTTTTGAGAGAGGCCCGGGCAGTTGCAGCGAGGTATACTCACATCACTGTCTTCGCCGAGTCCAGCCTGGTTTTGTCAACGACCCCACAGGCGGTGATTCAGCTGCAGCATCAGATTGAGTTTATGAGTCTGTTTCAGAGGAAATGCGCTCACAGCCTCAGAAGCGTGGCCAGATAAGATCAGGCATCATACGCCATCAGTGGAGAAATGAAGGATCCCATTTATGTTGGGCCTTCACCGGTTAGTCCGGTCACGAAACTACAGTTTTGCGAGCGTCCAGCCAGACCTTCTCAAGGTCGAATTCCGTGACAACTCTGCCAGTGTGTCCGGTATCGCCTTTTACGACCAAGACGCAGACGAGGGAGAACTGGGAGGCTTGCGGGAAGAATTCTTCTGATCCGCAGCTTTACTTGCGGTAGGTGCTGGGGACGAAGCTTGAGAGCCTAGGTCCTGAGATTTATGCCTCGTGAGGCAATGGCCCATAGGCTTGCTAGTAGAGGTGTTCAATACCCACGAGTGGGGATGAGCAGATATGGAGCGTGTGTGAAGAATTCAGAAGCCAGGCAAGCAAAAGGGTGAACTTGAAAGTGAGGAAGTGTCCTTGGGCCAGGCCCCATTTATTGGTCCTTGCCAGAGTCGATGGACGAGGTTATCGCCTATCGCGTCTACCTTGCCACGGACGAGCTCGGCTCAGGGTTGCTGGGATTGAGTTCCGTAACGAGTGTTCATTGGAGGGTCTGGGAGTTTGGGAGTCGGGCGAAGATGAAAGCAGGTTGAGCTTGCTTCTCCCTGCAGGCGCTCAATGGTCGGCTCCGATGTGGCCTCTAATCTGACGCATGGCTTCTGCAAGTCCTCGATGCCGAGTGGTGGGGTCGATCTGGGACTTGGGCTGTAGAGTGCAAAGTTTACGATGCATGACCTGGGGTTGGCTGTCCGCCGGGATTTTTTCTTCAATCTCTTCAGCATGCGGAACTGTGGGAATTGAACATACAGGCCTCTGCAGCATCGCTATGTGCACCCGGCGGCAGAATCTCCACAAAAAGCATGTCTTAAGTCTCGCAGCGGTTGCAGAGCTGGCAGTGTATGGGAACTCAACGAGATGTTACTTTCGAAACACGGGCCCCGCCTCGTAGTTTTGGTGCACGAGGGCCAGATCTGGATGCTTCTCGCCTATAGCTTAACGTAAATGCTGTAAGCGCAAGAACAGCATCCTGATCGTGTTAGGTGTGGGGGCCTGCGAACTTGCAAGCGAGAAACCCGCACAGTCACGGCACCTGGAACACAACATCTTTCGTTTGACATGAAGCAGGTGCCATTCCCTCACAAGTTGAGTAGTGAATGGTCCTACCAAGCATGGAGTCTCTTTTTTTCCGAGCCGCAGCCCCGAGGACCTCGCTGGATCTGGATTCGAACACGTTGGTTGATGATTTCAGCCACATCGTCGTGTACACTGTGTCCGCTGCTCGCTTGAAATGCTTGGCTGGTGGCATTGCTGTTGTTCGTAACACCGTTATTAACTGTCGACTTGCAGCGAACCTAGATGCTGATCTTACCCGGCTCCAACCAGGTCAGCTTGGTGCTCTCTGCCTTGTGCACTGTGCTGTTTGTTGTGTTGCCCTTGGCCTTGTATGTTGGTGGTCTTTCGAGTTTGGGAGAGGAGGCCTTCTGAGCTGAAGCCGTTGAGCTCAGGAGCTAGTCGAGCAGACGACGCCGGCCTTTGTGGAAGTCGTCGACAAGGGCCTCACAGCGAGGGAGGCGGAGCGATGCGGAGCCTTCTCGAGCTTGTCAAATTAGGACACACATGCGCATGCCTCAAGCTTGGCGAAGTGCACGAGATCTGATATCAGCCTCATGCAATAGTCTGACTAGATCAGCTGCGAGGGCCCCGTGAAACTGATGAGAAGCGGGGCTCACAAGCGGATCCCCTAGGAACCTACGGACAAAGGGGGGGTGGGGCTTAGGTGCATCGCGAGCTGATCGAAACACCTGAGCGGCCTATTTGGGTTGGGTGGGGGACCTGAACATACCTGAACCATGAATCCATCATACAATCTCCCACCCCTCCCCTTTCTAGGGGTTACCCATGGCTTAGCTGTGTCCGAACTGGGCTCGATCGAAATGCAAAGCAACACTGATTCACTGGACGGCTCCTCTGGACAGACCTTTTCCAGTTTTCTTGCCGATTCTGCAGCGTTAAAACTGAAAGTCACAGGCAGTGTTCCAAGATCTAGACCTGGATGCTACGGACATCGGAGGGCCATTGGCGTGGAATTTGACGGGGAACACGCCGCTCGGTGGCTTGTGCAGTAGGACAAGCAGCTACACCGTGTATTGGTGACACTAGTATTACTAGCAGGCTTCAGAAGTGGAGGTGAAGGCCGCGTTTACCATCGTTTGCTCGTCATCGCTGGTATTCATGGCATGATTATGGTTTGGGATGATGAGGCAGTTCGGCAGCACAACCTTGGAGTGTCCAAAGCAACGTCGGGCTTTGCGAGCGCGCAGACTGTCCACCCCTCCCCTCCCATATTTCAAGCTTGTTTTTTTTCAGATGGTCCGCCGCCAAGGTCAGACTTGACGCAGATCACGCACCCAGTCGCAGAGGGATCGGTTTACGTTAAGTCTCGATCCTCTGCTCTGGAGTGGCGGTTGCAGAGTCTTTGGGTTTCCGCAGCCACGGATTCATATATCTCGGTAAGGCATTACGCCATCTACCTCGGCTGGGTGGACGTGGTCTACGGAGCCGCGAGCTCTACAACCACGAACATCACGAACATGTCTGAGGCTTCTGTTTGCCATGTCCCACGACAGTCAGAAGACAAAGCTGAAGCACCTGTCGACACTCCTAGATTAGCATATTACGGCAAGTTCGGAGGACATGGTGATTGCAGCTGTTCTGAAAGAGCTGTTGCCTATGAGCTTGAGCGTGTTGCTTCGTGACACGCGTTTCAGGAAGAGTCCGTTGCCCCGATCACGTCCACCACCGTGACCACGGTGACAGTATCCACCATAACAAGTACTTCGACAAGCACTGTGCCAGCTACTACAGTCAACGGCTCTGATGACTCGGACGCCCCTGTGTCTTGGACAACATCATAAGCTTCGTGCTGTTTGGTTGCCGCGGGCCCTCTGAGCTTCAAAAGGTTCCTGCCGCAGCTTAGGACACAAGTGACGGCACCAACCAGTCGGATGACGACACGGGCAACGTTAGTGAATCCAACGACAGCGATGGCAGCAGGTCCAATGACAGCGAAACAAGCGACTCCTTCAATGCATCGCCAGAGACACCCGCTGCTCAGGCGCGTTTCAACAGGTCTTCACAGCCGCTGTCTCTGCCTGTCATACAGCATGCAGGGTGGTGCGCTCGAGGGCGAGGACAATGAAAGTTACAACGACAGTAACGACAGCAACGGGACCAACTTCTCGTTGCAGGCGGACAGGGTACGGCATGGTACTTCTTGTTGCAGCTGCCAGCGGTTGGCACGGAGATGTGCAGGTTGGGGCAACAACCGCACTGCCCACCACCGTGCAACTTGGCTTGAGAAGCAAGCCTGGGCGATTTTGAAGCTCAAGCAGTCGTGTGCAGGACCTTGACAACGTCACTGGTCTACGTCAGAGGCGGGAGAGTCTTTGTTCGAGCCTCTGTAACATAGGTCAAGCTGCAAGTTTCCAGTTGCCAGGGCGATTCATCGAGGAGATCTCGGCCTTCACCGGCGACCCCCCCACGATTCTCACCAGCTACCTTCTGTCGCCAGAAGCTTTGCCACACATGGTTGGGTCCGGAGACATAGAACATGGGGTCTCCAGGTCCCGTAGATCTCCACAGAAAAGAAGAAATTTGCAAAAAAGCGCCTAAGCAGTTGAACAACACATGGATAACACATGGAACTCACAATGGAAAATGTTTGGGGCAGAGTATCGTCAATTTGGTTCTAGCTGGGTATATGCTGATGCTGATCTCGCTTGGGTTTAGTCGCTCGTACTCCACTGGCCGTCCAAGCGAACAAGCGTGAGACTGTCGTCCAAACAAAGTTTGCCTTGAACGCTTGCTTCAAAATGTGCTCAAGACCACTGTAAAACGCAACGAGGATCGCGCTCTTCCTTCTAGCACGTCCCCGAGCAAATATGTGCTGACACCGCAGCTTCGAGCACTTTTGAGCCTGCACAACGAAACACTCACATGCAAGCCGTCCTAAGTCGCTCGAAGGGATGTTACACTGGTTTTTGATTTTGCTCCCATACGGCTTTGATTTGCATTCTCTCTCTCTCTCTCTTTCTCTCTCTTTGTTTCTCTCTTGTGTTTCATTTTTTTGGTCGGCCATGGGATCTGGTATTGATTATTTCCTATATGGTTTTTGTTTGTGGTTTTCATAGCGTCATAGAGTTATCAGGCGGAGGGGGCAATAAGTGCCGGTGAAACTGAGGAGACTGACCTGTCCAACTTCACTCACCTCTTTGTCTACGTGCCTTGGCGACGTTCTGGCAGTTTATGGCCTGCGAAACTGTGTACTGGTATCCACTGATGCAATCTTCAATATTCAATACCGAATTCAAGTTCATTTGCGGTGCAGGGCTTCTCCCAAGATCGGAACCCTTCTTGACAAACTCGCTCGCTTCACCGTCATCTACGGCAGCAGTGTCCCACTTGGCCAGTGCTTCGGGGCAAGGTCCGGACGTCCTTCGCAGACCAGTCCACTCCAGCCGCGGCGCAGATCACAGTCACTCGACCTCATGTAGAACATGATGACGAGTCGAGGTCGCTTGCCACGCCTACCTTATAACCTTATAACGGAAGAAATTTTGGTCGCATTTGGTCACATGGGTGCATGCGGACATGGGAGGTGCCACGACGCATGTCGTCCTGTTGTTGTCGCAGTTTGTGCTTCGTGTTCAGCTCGTGCCAGTGGGGTAGCATTGGTTGCTTTCCGCTGCTGCCACTGTCTCGACGTTTCTCTCTCAAAGAGTCTGCAGGTTTCGTGCCACATCCTATGATGTTGGCGCAGGAGAAGATGCCGTTGAAGATGGTGGTGTCGCAGTCGCTGTGGTTGTGGTTGTGGTTGTTGTGATGTTTGCGGTGGTTGTGGGGGGGGGGGGTGGTGGAGGTTGTGGTTATGGTTGTGTTTGCGGTTGTGGTTGTTGTGGTTGTTGTTGTTGTTGTTGTTTCCGTTGTGGGTGTTGGTGTTGGTGATGATCGAGGTTTTCGTTCATGATGCTGATGATGACGCAGACCATGATGATCTTGATGGCGATGTCGTTATGCTGCTCCTGACGACGATGACGATGTCGACAGGGCCAGTTTGGCGCCTCAGCAGTTCCGGCAGCACCACGACGACCATCGCCACCAACAGAAAGCAACGTTGCAATGATCACCACCAGTCCACCGCCCGCACCGCCACCTCCACGCCATCGCCACCGCCAAAGGCAAACAATAGCAGCAACAAGATCAAATCCTCCACATCGTACTATTGTTGCTCGTATTACTTCTACTGTTATCTAGTGTTACTGCTGCGGCAGCCAAGAGGAGATCCACGAAGATGTGGCAAGTGGGGTGCTTCGTTCTTCGTCATAATAATCGTGGACAGATGTCAAACCGCAATGGGACAAACTGTCGCCATATTCAAGAGTCCCAAAACCTGTGATGCTCGCCGGAGCAATGCCGATCCGTGTTTTTCATCCGATCACCCTTCGCTTCCTGGTCTGGAACTTTCCAGTCGTTTCTGCTGCAAAGTGTTGCTTTATCGTACCAGCTGTAGTTCGGCATTCGTCTTGCGACCCTCTCTTAGCCTCGTCTCTCGTTCGCGACGAAGCCTGAGCTCTGGAGCACTGGTGTCAGAGGACGTGGAAGCAAGCACTTCAAGCATCCAGTTCACTGACTATGACCTGGATGAAACGCAGATTGGTGGCACGGTGAGCTTTCTCCCACCCATCGACATGCAATTTGCCTCCAGGCTGCATCTTGGGGCTTGCATACGTGTCTCAGAATTTTGCTCCTAAACACCGCTCAGTAGCGGAAGTTTCGGCTAAAACCTTCTTCCCTGTTGTTGTTTTGTTGTTGTTGCTGCTGTTGTTTCTTGTGCCTTCCCGGCCCGTTTCATTAGCGTCGGATACAATCGTAGTTCTCGAAATAACGGACCAAGGTGGAGGCCTTGCAGATCAAGCTGGCCTATGGGAGTCCTAGCGTATCTCGGCCTTCTTGCTGTCTTGCATGAGGTTTCAGACGTATATTTGGTTCTCAATGTGGCAAAGAAAGCAAGGATTGGGTGTCAAGTGTTTGTAGCGTGGACAGTTGCTTGGGCTCCGTAGTTTCGACGGCTTGAACTTGCTCGGCATTCAGAGGAGCCTCCGACTGCCCAGCACTCACCTGCTTGAAGCTAGGAGCGCGAACCAAGAAAAGAACAACTGCTCATAACGAAGTCAACGGATCTCTATAGATGTCTTGAATTTACACAAGCCTCATGGGTCTCACAGAACTTTTGAATCGTACTTCTGGTCTCCAGACTGTTCGCCCATTGTGGGGTCTTGCCTCCCGAAGCCTTGGCATGTATGCACGAGGCAAATGTCTAGGTCGTGCATTTCAGGGGCAGAGGACTTTCTCCGGACACTTTCGACGCCCGGAAAGCAAAAAAAACAAGCCTGAGCTTTACCGACATGTCGCGGCCAGGAGATTCGCTCTCAGATTGGTGAAACTATACTCGCCGCTCGGGTATCATCTACGGAGGCTTCTTTGCATCGCTGAACGGGCTTGCCGAGAATTGGGGCGGGCTGAAATCTGGAGTTAAGCGGTTTTCGATTTGCGGCTTTTTCACAATAAGTAAATGGAGTTCGGAGGAGCTAGCGGTGACGTTCTTAGAGTTGGAGGGCCCGAGCGATCAGCCAAGGTCTCTGACCTGACCTTCACTTCTGACGCCGGCAAAACGTCCGACGAGGTGCAGTTTGGTGTTACCTTTGTATGCGTCGAGGATGCTACTTGCGCTTCGGAGCTGAAGCCCTGAACTTGGTTTCCTCCTCGTGTTTCAATCGCTCTGGTCCTACGCACGTGTGGCTACCTTAAATAAAGGAACACGCAAGCACATGGAAGCTGACGTTGTTCGACGGCAGGACCGGGTTCAACGCTCCGTCGCGGCCAACACTTGGATAGGTGACTTCACACACCTCTCTGTCTACACCAGGCCAGGTCGGTTGAGAACATGCTGTCAAGGGGGGACGCCTTCAACACAGTTTGATGAGGGATCGAGGTCTTATTGAATGGGGCATTGTGTTCTGGGACTGCCAGGGGTGGGTGGGTGGGTGGAGGGGTATGGTCGGCCGTCTGGGAACGTCAAAGGTAAACTCGACTACATCGTTTGTTTTCCGAAGCAGAATAATATGCAGAATATGCATGTATGTTTGTGTATAAATGCATCAGCAAATAAACACATATATATATATATACACATATATTATGTATACACACGATATGCACAAGTACGTTGTATATCGGGCCTATAGGAAGATAGATAGATAGAGCATGTATAGGTATTATGCAGTTATTTTTCGGCATGTATGGTATAGATGTGTAATATGTATATACAGATACAAGTATAGATACAGATATGGATATGGATAGGTTATATATAATATACGTGTATATATATATATGTATACATATGCATGTACAGCTCTATAGATATTGTGGAGGTACAGATGTACAGATCGTCTATAGACTTGCTTGTGTGTATATGTATATGTATGTATATATATATATATATATATACATACACATATGCACACAACCAGAGAGACATGTGTAGACATAGATACGGATGTCGACATATCTGCAATTCCCGGCCCGGGTTGGACCTCTGTCCTTCAGCTTTTAGTTTCATTCCGTGCACAGGCTAGGCGCGACTAGCGCGAGCCAGCAACACATCCTCTAGCTTACTTGCAGGCATCCGACATCTCGTGTCAATGTGCTTCCTGCTCATTCCCCAATAACGAAACTCACCCAAAGATTTTTGGCGCACTCTGAGAGTTCGGAGCTTCGAGGCTTGATCCTCCAGAGTCGCACTTCCGGCTTCGCTACGACGATTGCCTTACTAGTAGCATCGAAGGGCTGCTTGCTCAAGCCCTTTCATCGCGAAGGGCCAGCAGCAGACGTCCTTGTGGTTTGTTTCAAAAATGTTCGCTCGCAAACCGACCTAGGGCTCGTCATCCCTTCTGTGCTAATGTGGCGTGGGGGGCTACAACGACAACATACCTTCTTCCATGCAGGCGAAAGTCCATTGTTTTTCCAAACTCACCCTCGCTGTACCGCCTCCCTCTCCGCCTCCCCCTCTCACTCTACATTTCCCCCTCCCTCCCTCGCCCTCTCTCCCTCTCTCCCTCTCTCCCTCTCTCCTTCTCTCCCTCTCTCCCTTTCTCCCGCTCTCCCTCTCTCCCTCACTCCCTCTCTCCCTCTCTCCCTCTCTCCCTCTCTCCCTCTCTCCCTCTCTCCCTCTCTCCCTCTCTCCCTCTCTCCCTCTCTCCCTCTCTCCCTCTCTCCCTCTCTCCCTCTGCCTCTCTCCCTCTCTCCCTCTCCCCCTCTCCCCCTCTCCCCCCTCTCCCCCTCTCTCCCTCTCTCCTCCTCCCTCTCTCCCTCTCTCGCCACCTCTCCCTCTCCCTCTCCCCCAGCTCTCCCTCTCCCTCTCCCTCTCTCCCCTCTCCCTCTCCCTCTCCCTCTCTCCCTCTCCCTCTCCCTCCCCTCTCCCTCTCCCTCTCCCTCTCCCTCTCGCTCTCGCTCTCGCTCTCGCTCTCTCTCTCTCTCTCTCTCTCTCTCTCTCTCTCTCTCCTCGCTCGCTTTGCGTCTGTCCCTTTACTCACGGCCTTGATGGCAGCGAGTTGTGACCGGGTCCTGACTCAGTGGCCCGAGACGAGGCACGCACAATTGCTGCATGAGCGTCTAGTTAGATTTTACGCTTCCCCCAGTATGGACAAGGCCGGATACTGTTGCATATATGTACGTTCACCCACTTCCAGCACCATGCCAAACTTCGACTTCCGTCTGGGTGGTTTGTTGCTCGACCCAACATAGACTCTCCAGGGATTGCAGGTGGCGTTCTATCAAAGATTGCCTTTCCCTCAGATTTGTCATTGGTCGTAAAAGCTCGTCAACCCTGTTATCCGAGACTCTCGGATGCGCCACCATCAACCCAAATCTGTTGTATAGATGGCAACGGAGCACATCCTCCAAGCGACACTGTCTATGTGTTGCATCTGACTGGGTCATCGCTGTGGAGAAAGAGGAAGACAGATGGTAGTTGATTTGAGGGTAAACGACACTGCGAATCAATGATAGCCCGGACATGAACTGGCTTCGTCGGCTACAGGGGTTTTCTGCAGTCTCTAGCTTCCTTGAAACACCGCTTGGCCGTGTGTGTAGGTCCAGCCTAGCCGAGCAGACGACTCCGACTGCGCTGATCCTCAACGATACGTCCGGGGCCTTCAAGCATCCCTGGGATTTCAGGTCGATGCGTACATCAGGAATTAAGGGACGGGATCAAGACAGGTGGAGCAAGCGAGTGAAGCAAAACCAGCTCCAACACTCGCACTAACCTTCATCTGGCTCGGGATGAGGTGATCAGGATTGAAGGTTTGCTGTGTCATTGTGGTCGGATACTTTGTTGAGAGTTTGGTTGCATTCAGCGCCTGATGTGTCCAGAGAGTAGGGCTGGATGAGGCATTAGGGTGAACAAAAAATCGGATCGCTGCTCTAGGGTTGCGGCTAAGTGTTGAAGTGTTGTTGGGCCTTATCGTTGGCTCGGAAAGCATTCTGCAATCTGAGCTGTCTTGAGATTCTGGGTAGCTCGGGCCAAGATCTGCAGCTATCCTACGGAGATCCGTGGTGACGTGGACTGAACGTAGCACAGCGATCTTGCTCTGCAACTGTTGTAAGTTGTTTCATACCTCCCAAGTTCCAGTTGAGGCCGAGTCATGTCCTCTCTCTGCCAATGGCGACCAACAGTCTTCGTGTGGCTGATCTTCTGTATCGCATGTCTGCACGAAGTAACTTGGATACGTGCATGTTCATTCATTGTCGGCAACTTTGAGACAGATCAGGCGAGTCTGGAAGCTGCCAACACATTGAGCAAACTACGAGGACCGGACTCGACCAACACCTTCTTTCACGATGGCTGGTTCCTGCTTCATAATCTTTTGTGGATGACGGGTAGCTTGGTGCCCCAGCCTCTCGTTGCCACGGGTGCAGACGGACGTGTGGAAGTGGCCGTTGTATTCAATGGCGAGATCTACAATTGGCGATCCCTGCTGCCGGGTCAGAACATTTCATCCGATGGTCAAGGTCTTTTGCCTGCTTACAAGAAGTGGGGGGCGGCAAATATGGCCAACAAATTGGACGGAGAATTCGCAGTTGTCATCGTCGACTTTTTGACCGAGACAGTTGCCTTCCTGACAGACCCGTTCGGCACCAAACCCATTTTCTTTGCCTTTGGCACCCTCGGTAGATTTGCAGTCGCCACATACAGATCCGCACTGACAGGCTTGGGATTTGATGCCTCAGTTGAGATTTTCATGGCAGATCCGAATACGCTCTTTGTTGCTTCCTTTGACGAGCTACAGCGCTGGAACTGGCGTTCAATGCAGAGAAACTCTCTGCAAGGCTTGTGCGCTTCCGCTTGGAATGGTCATCGCAGGAACTGCAGTGTATATTGCGACTGTGCAGTTTGGCCTTTCTTCAAACAATTTCCGCTGTTCAACTGGAACCTGACGCAGTTCAAAAATTCTACGTCGGACTGGCAGTTTGCTTTTGAAAAAGCAATCGCAAAACGTACACTTGACTTGAATTGGCAGCTTTGCACGGGTTTGTCTCATGGCTATGACTCGGGAGGTGTGCACCTAGCGTTGGCCTTGCAGAATGTGCCGCACCACACCTTCACAATCCGCGGATCCGAAAACGTGACCGTGATCAGGCAACGGCTCAGATTGCATGGCTCCTCGTCGAAGGGACATTTCATACCGATGGATGAGTTTGAGTACAGCCGGAATCAGGTTTGGATATCTCGGTGGGCAGAGCCATTCACCTACAATGAGCACAGGTTTTCAGACTATGGAGTTGTGCTGGATCAGGCAGCAGTGGCGCTCGTGAAGATCTTCAAGAGCTGCAAAGAGCAGGGAGGGAGAATTTTCATGTCTGGAGCGGGTGGTGATGAAATCCTTTCACAATACAAGACTGATCCTACTGAGATGCTTCCCGACGACCTGTCGTCTGTGTTTCCGTGGCCAGACTTCTACTTTGCAAGGCAACGAAACTTCTTGATGAAAGAGGAAACCATTGCCGGAGCCTTGGGTATGGAATCTCGATATCCTTTCTTGGACCGCTCTGTTGTTCAGGAGTTTCTGTGGCTGAGTCCAGCAGTGAAAAGATCGCTGTACAAACGTCCGCTACATGACTTCATGCTACAGCATGGGTACCCGTTTAAAAGAGGAGATAAGACCGGCTTTGTCAACGTGAAACGCTGAGCATGCAAGTTGCTCTTTGCAGAGCGGTGGACAAAAGGGGCGAGATTTTGCAAGTGTGTGGCAGGGAGTGATTGGCAGTTTGTACACGCAGTCTCCGTTCCATCCGGTTGTGCTGCTCCGTAAGCTTCCATCACTTCTTCAAACTTTCATGCTTCAGGAGATGAGACCGAGCCGTTCCTTCAACCCCAAGCCCAAGACGTTCCATACTCTAGCAAGTTCATCCCTGTTACCTAGCAGCAAAAACCGTCAATCCGACACCCGCAACCCCAGCATTGCAAGCAGCCCTCGCGAACAGTCCCGGGCACGCTTTATTGGCTGCTTGCCTCAGCCACACTCTGACCTCAGGGATGCACCAGTCCAAAACCTACGCTTTCCTGATCTGGTGTCTTGGCATAGGGGCTGGCCCCGCAAGACTCTGAATCAAGGCATTTCGCAAAGCTATACCGGATTGAGGCTTGTGGGGTTTGTTTGCCCAGGATTTGTTTCTGATTTGTTTATTGCAGAGCTTTCGAACAAGCTCAAGCTCGAGGTGACATTTTCATGGTTTGCGGAACCTACTGGAGGTCTAGCAGCCTGACCCAACCCGACTTCTTTCGTCATGAAGTCTGGAGGCAATATTCCAAGAAACACACACCCTAAGCGTGGTTCGCGGCGGTTCAGACGGCTGCTAGAGTATGTTCGTGTTGATGCATTTTGTAGCATTTGTGGGACAGCATGGCAACATCTGGAAGCTGAAAATCCAGGACCTGGACAGGGATGAGCTAGGCGGGGATCTGCTCTGGGACGCGCCAGCAGACGATAGCCACTTTGGCAGAAGTTTGGAGGTCTATACAGTCTAGCTTCCATTTCTCATAGTGGCTTCCGGCAGAGGGTGCGGACTTGATGAGGAGTTGGGACTGTCTCGGGCTCGTCGTTTCTTATGAGTCGTGTCCCAAATAGGATCATCGGGCGCTGCACGATTTTGTCAACGAGTTGCCCAAAGAGGAGCAGGGAAGATGGACACAACTCCGTGTTCGGCTCAGGGTATGTTGATGTGCGGGACATTGTAAGACGGTGTCCATATGCTGGGGAAAATGATAAGGAAGGCTGGCTAACAAATCTGTCGGTGGATTCCAATGCTGCGAAATCTAAGGTCTCATCTCCGAGTACAATATCTACATCGCCAGAGTCATCGCGGACACCAGGATTGACAGCTGTGACGGGTCTGACACCAGCGACGAGGACGCCGCAGCGTTAGCACTGTTCTTCGGGTGCTGATGATACGCGCAACTAGGTCCCAGGTCCAGGCGACAGCACAGTTTTCCCAGTTGCACGTTCTCGCCCGTTTCTGTCGTTTCCAAGCTGCCAAAAGAGAACCCTTCAAGTCCATGCGTGTGCCAGGAGAGCAACACCAGCAGCAGCCCCACCCTTTCGGACAATATGGTCCCATACGTTTGGAGCTGCTGCCTGAGCTCATCATGTCTCGTTACTAGTTGGTTGCACCGACATGACCTGGCCATCCTGCTCCCTTTTCTCAAGCTTTTGTGGATCCAGTTCCTTTCAACAGTTTCTTTCTCAACTGCTTTGCAAAGCTGGTGCCTCCCAACAGCAACAACGACAGATACTGCGCTCGTGATGCTTAGGCGAGGAGAGCGACATGGCCAATGCAAGCGTGCCTGGGCGGAAGTGGAGGGGTATCTGAATCAAGCTGGGAGGGAGTGCTGCCCGACTACGACTGCACACTAGCGGTGCAGCTGGGTGTGGGCACATGAGCAGAAGGCTAGCAGCTTTGATTCATTGCACGTTGATTCCCATACTTCAGCTGCAACCCGGTTTTGCCAACAAGGCTCTGAGTGCTCTTCCCGTGGCACATTTTTCGCCGTGAACGTGTGTCAGCCGAGGATGCCACAACGTCTCGCTTCTGGTGCGCAGACTGTTGTCAAGTGATCTTGACCAGAAGCCTATAGGACATCCCAGAAGTTATATACGGGTTGCAGGTCAAGCGGCTTTACCGAGGAGCGTGGTGGATAATTAGATTACGCTCCTAGGCCCCGAACTGTCTTGCTACTCAGAGCCTATAAGCTAGTACAGAGACTGACGCAATTCTGTGCAAGATGCGCAGGTGTCGCCAGCTGCTGGGCACGACGGGTGCCTTGAGGTGGCCGCTAGATGCAAGGCTTGGCTGGCGATACGCCTGGAAACCACCTTGCAGTCTTGCAGGCACAACCCACGACCTGGGTCGTAGCCACCAGTCGTAGCATTCAGAACAAGGAACATGTTCCAGTGTGTGGGCAGTACCAACCTCTCGAGCTTTCGGACTCAGGTAACAAGCAACATGTACATGTGAGAGAAGTTCAGTCGCGTGAATGGTGTTCCGCCTCGCGCAGAAAGACTTATCAAAGCTGTCTTTCCGAAACTAAATTCTGCTTGTAAATACACCGAAGAAGGGTAGTTCTCTCGAAGTTTTGTGTTGCAGGCCTCTTGTTTCGGGCCCTCCGACGCGTATATCAAGAGCCAGGATCAAGGTTGCAGGTTGCTGTAGGAATCCTTGTGAGCGGCAAGTCAGTCGCTAAGGTCCATTGCCGCCGAGACGACGTTACAACCTTGGACTCACTTCCTGGTCTTTTCCAGGCCCGCGTCGTTGGCGTGACACCGAGAGGTCGAAGACTCCACTTAGTCACGAAAGCTACAAGCTAGCTCCATTTTTTGATGCTTGGGGAGTTGTCGTTTACAGATTTCGTTCGGGTCCAAGGAAACTTCAGGGTCCCCTGAGGGGGGAACCCCCTGATCAGGAAGTGCTCGATTAGGAGGCCTGCCTTGAGGCCACCCCCACCTCTTCCTTGGGTCAGAATAGGCAGCAGAACCGCTATCAGGCAACACAGCCATGTGTACATCTGCACAACTGAAGACGGAAGCCTTGTCTAAGACTGTTCCACGTCCACTGCAGCAGGGTAATAAAGCGTTTCAGGGTTATTTCTCGCATTCAGAAACGATCTTTTTGCGATGCATCGTTCAGTGCAGGCTTGGCTTAGATTTGTCTATCAACCGTGTTGATAACAGCTTGCCTTCCGATTCACAACACATACAAGGCTCACTGCATTCGTTTGCCTTCCGAGCTTTCGCTCTGCTCTCAAGTTTCACAGATTCTCACGCACCTCCCGGCACTGCCCCTGCCAGCGCAGATCCCTGAAAGGTCGGCTCTGGAGGAAGCGAGCACGCCCACGTCTCACAGGACACGATCTTGAAGCCGACCTGTGCCCGAAGCCTGCAAGGCAAAGCCAATGCCCCTCCCGGAACTGTCGTGTCCAAGCTGTTGGACGCTTGGCACCTTGAGCCAGTAAAACTTTGACGTGCCTGCATTGGGCATCCGACAGACAGATATGATCCTGTTGCAGCAACGATGCGGCTTGGGTGTCGAGATTGGGCAATTGAATGTTTGGTCTGGCGCTCCTCTAGTCTGCTTCGCTTCGTACAGGCTCAACCCATTGAACACAAGCCCTCGACAGGATCTTTGACCAGGATGCCAGTGTCTCCGACTTAGACTTCGTGGGACAAGATCTGAACCTAGCGACTTGCATGCATGAAGTGCTTGAAGAGCTCTTTGCGAACACTTCGAGGCTTCAGGTATTTCGAACTGATGCTTATGGAAGTGTTCGTGTCTGAGAATGCTCGGGCAAGACCAGTCCTGTGATGCTCGCGCAAGGATGAAGTGGGCGGCAATCTCAGCTGGACTCCTCCAAGTCTGGCCCGGGCCTCTGATACTCAGGCACAAACCATGCGATCCTTACTTGAATTGCGGCCTTGCCCCAGGTCACCAATGTGCAAGGCTATGTCGTCTATTTGGCGACAAGTGCTACTGGTGCGAACCGCATCTGGAGCCTCGGCGATGCAAGGCACAGAGACGACGCGCAGTTCTTCATGCAGTGCATCATGGCATCGTGTCATGCCCCTGCCATACAATAACTGCAGCTGAGGGTCAGCTACACAACTGCAAGTGCTTCGCAGAATGGGACAGAAGTTGAAGACGTGAATGCCAGCAACGACACGGCAGTAGATTCCGACGAAGATGACTCTGACACCATCCTCTACAACACTTTGACTGATGTCGGCCGCTTGCCGCGGTATAGTCCGAAAGTCCCCGCGAGTCAAAGTCATTGCAGCTCGGAGTTGCTCAATCCTGAGAATCCGTGTAGGGCTGCATGACTCCTTATGGCGTCTGCTGAATACACTGTCGAGCCTTGCAGTGTCAGCTTCACGCTTCGCCCATTTCAGGCTGGGCTGCTTGTGTGAGCGACCGAGGTACTAATGTGGTCACCATCCCAGAAGGCGGGGTCGTTGACTGGCGGGCAGTAATGCGTGCTTGAATTGAAAGGTGGCGTCGTTCCATGAACATAGAATTGTCTATGTGGGCCCTGTTCCAGCTTCTTCCGGGTTCCTGGTAATCCCTTCGCTCCCCCCAACCCCGAGGCATAGCTGCAGAGTACTGCACTGCAACTACTGTATCGTCAGTGCTTTTCAAAAAGTGCGGGACTGTTCATAAACGCGTCATGGCATTCATGGGAATACTCATTGACTAGAGCCAGAGCTTTGGCCGAAGATGCGAATAGCCCAGTATAGCACGTACAATGCCATGTCGTCTCTTGCTGCCCGCATTGGTTGACTTGCTGGAGTGGCAGCATCAGTAGCTTTCCTATGCAACTCAAGCTGTTCACTGCTGCTACAGTGCATCCGTCAAGCGATGCGCTGCTAGCAGTGCCGCAAACGAGGGTAGACGATGCTACAACTCTCCGGAACGGCCGTTGGTGCACTGTGGCTTTCAGGGCTACGGCTGTTCAAAATCTAAAAACCCCACACGGAGGGTGGGGAATAAGGCAATCCCACAGTGCAGGTACGTCTGGACGACCTTTCTACACTCATTTCTTGGTCTACACGAAGTCGGTCCTCGTGGAGCAGTCGACCCCGGTCTTCTTGACGTTAGAGGAGGCCGCAGTTGATGCACACGCAAACTCTGTGCATGCACGCAGCCTGCAAGCATGCTTCCGAGCATTTGCGGAGTATGTGTGTAGTGTGTCGTGCATAATTCTCAGTTTATTTCGGCGCGAACCCGACTGCTAGTCGGGTATTTCGGGCGTCTGCAGCATCATGCTTTCCCCAAGTCTTGTCTGATCGGTAAGCAATTGTCAGCGGAGCGGCGCACCTTCCGACCTTTGCGTTTCCGGAGTTGGGGCGTTCCGTGTGATAAGCATGACAAGCTTATGCGAGGAAGATGCAAACCTTCTTGAGAAGCAGCGTGATGTCAATTTCTTGGAGCACGATGACTCCAGCGCAACGGAGTTGCGACTGGCTGTGCCACTGACGCGGTCTCATGGTGCCGCAACTCCGACTCAAGCTGGGAAACAAGCAAAATCGTAGTAGGCTTTAAACGGACTGCGAACATAGTCGATGCTATCGGCATGTTGGTCTGCAAGACCGAACTCCGAGCTACAAACCAACTAACAGTTTAACTATCACAGGGACTTGCTTTGCTCCGTGTTGGCTTTTTGTGAGCCTTCCTGGGATGCGTGACGGGCAGCTGCGGCTGCTGATCTGCGTGTGTGTTGGCTTTCACGGCTTTCAACTTGTTGCCAATATGCAGGCCTCTCTTCGCTTCGTTGTTCCTAGCTTGAGCTTCCTGGACCTTGACCTGGATGAGGTGCGAGGGCTGAATGGGCATGTACGGGATGGCCTGCAGCGGTTTATAACTTGTTAATGTTTTGTTTGCGTGTAACGGAGTGCCAGCAGCCAAGGGCAAAACGTCTTTAGTCATGGTTTTTGAGGTGGAGGCTTTCAGGTTCGACGAGGTCTTCTTGTAAACGGGCACAGCTTGTGCGGAGGAGAAGTCCGGGAGTGTAACCATTCAGGGGCCAGCGCGAGACGACCTTGGGAATTTCAGGGTTCGGAAGGGCATGATCTCATCTCAGAATCAGGTTGAGGAAAGTCCACGGCCTCAGGGTATAACTAATGTGTAGGGATCTCATGGAAATTGTCTGGCTCCGCAGGTTTCGGGATTTTGCTGCTGAGAAGCTCTGTGTGCCTCTCTCACAGGAGGAGTTGGGAGGCCAGTTGGTTTGGCAGCGCCCGCCAGCTACTTGGCGCCATTTGCCAATCACCGTTGGACAGTTCTCACCTGTACTCAGTAGGTCTGCTGAAGACCAACGACTCTGGCTGTACATGCTGATGCTAGTGGTGTTGGAGTTGATGATGCTGATGGTGGTGGTGACGGTGACGGCAGACGGCGAGGGCGTGGGCATGGGCTGGAGTGGGCGCGGGCGCGGTTGTGGCTGTCGTTGTTCTTGTGGTTGTGGTTGTGGTTGTGGTTGTGGTTGTGGTGGTGGTTGTTGTTGTTGTTGGCAGCACTTGCGTCTGCCGCCGCGCGGGGTGGTAATTGATTTTGCGTTTTGTGTTCGCATCGGTTTTTGCGGTGTTTTGAAGCAAAAAATGCGACAGCCCAACGGCTACACTGTACCAAAAAGTGCAGAATAGTGCAGAGCTCTCCATTGCGCATCTTTTTTTTCAGTGTTTTCCTGTGTGTGCCGCTTGTCGCAACGGTTTTACGGTGTTTTGCCGACTCCCGACTTTTTGCACATGCCAGCTTAGACTTCCATTTGTATCTCAGCTCTGTGCAGGGTTGAGGGTGTGTGTGTGTGTGTGTGTGTGATGATGTCATGATGTCCATGCCAATGCGGATTGTGTGTTGTGTTTCTCTTGTTGTGTTGTGTTTTGTGCATTGCTGGGGAGATGGGGGGATGGGGGCATTTCGCATCGGTTTTTGCGGTGTTTTCCTAAAGATTCCGGGCAGCACTGTGCCGACCCTCGACTTGTCGCATATACTTCCATGTGTATGTAGTTGACCTCTGTGGAGGGGTGGGGAGGGGGGGCATGGTCGCTCATGACGTCCATGATGATGTTGATGTTGATTGCTGATGTCGAGGATAACAATGGCGATGACGATGGCTACGGTAATAACAATGGCAATGACAATGTTGCGGTCGCATTTCTTCTGCAGTGTTCTCACTTGGTTTGCTGCTTCAGCATTACTGGGTCTTGCGGGAGTCTGCGGCCTCACTGACAAACATGAAGTTTAGGCTCTCACCCGGTCTGAGATCGGGACTTATGCTACAAGTATCTACAAGTTCACACAACTCCATGCCCAAGACCCAGCACGGCACATTAGGTTCTGGGAGAGATTGCGACGTATGAGCTACTTGGCAGTGCGGAGCAGGAATGTCAGGTGATGCCAGGGGTATGATAGCTTTTGTTGTTGATTTGGGTTTCAGTCCTGCAGATCCCATGTCATTTCTCTCGTTTTGTCGGCCTTGGCGGTTTACTTACAACGACTAATGTTGAAGTTGAAGCTCCGGAGTCATAGTAGTAGGTCCACAGTCGTACGGGGCCCTCGAGCAAGGATTTACCTGGGCTTCCTGGACGAGCAGAACCACAGCTCCAACAAGAGCTTGTTGGTCTCCATTCCCAGTGACCGGGTGGAGTACGATGTGGCAGCCCTAGTTCCGGCCACTGTTGCATCATCGGGTCTGTTCAATTGTGCCATGCAGTGATTGTGGGGTCGGAGCAGCCCAGGTTCCCCCGAACACCCCGGCCAATGTCGGGACCTCAGAGCTTCGTGCGCATGGTGTTGATGCTACGGTGGTAGTTGGAAGAAGCGCCGAAAAGTGCACAAGCAAGGCACTGTTTCAGAGGGGCGCTATGAATGTATGCCGGAAAGTGCAGACACCGCAACGGCCATCACAAGGAGACGACACATCTGCTCATCCACACGGCATCAGAGACCGTGGAGCACCGCACGCCGGCCTTTTTTGAGTTTTTCGACGCGATTGCCAGTGCGACAGGCCTGTCAGTGTATGTCAGTGTTGCAAAACAGCGTCCTTGTCATCGTTCTTCTGCAACAGCTAACCCGCCGAGTGCCAAAAGGATTAACCTTCACGGATCTTGACCTCGATGTCAACGAGCTCGGAGGAGTCTTGAGTTGGGTTCCCCCACCGGCGTCTCGGATGACCCTGAGAAGCTTTCTTGCAGCTCTAAAGAAGCATGACACCAGCCCAAGCCTGAGCTGTGGCCCAGGTGAAGGATCAGGTGGATGTCTACCAGCTCTTCTTCAGCGAATCTCGACCGCCCGGGCACCGAATGGCACTAACTCCTCAATGCCCGAAGGGTCGACGCTCAGAGTTCTTCCGCCAACCACTCGTGCAGGGCCTCAGCCGTTTTGTCGGAGCCACCAGGAAGATGCTGATGGCAATGGCCGCTCGCAGTTTGGCTTCGACATCATGCGAGGCATCGAGGAAGCAAAAAGGATTGTGTCAGGGCGCAGGCTGTTTTCGGATTTTGGCAGGATTACGGATAGCTTTTGAATCGTCAGTTTCGCGTCTGACTTGGTGAGAGCGGGAGCGAAGGGTTGAGGTGTGGTTTGGTACTGCAGGCAACTCTGTCACTTGGAAGGCTCATTGCCTGAGCTGCGTTGGAAGTTGCAGAAACGCCATACTTGCCTCGTTTGGATTCGTGGCACAAGCGGACGAGACATGTGTCTGTCTGCGTAGTCAAGGTGCAACAGCTCTCGAAGTCGCTTCGCAGACGCCATTGTGCCTTGATCGCACCCGCAGGCAGTCTTCACCACGGCAGCAGCTGGAGTAGTAGTAGTAGTAGTAGTAGTAGTAGTAGTAGGTAGTAGGTAGTAGTAGTAGGTAGTAGTAGTAGTGGTAGTGGTAGTGGTAGTGGTAGTGGTAGTGGTAGTGGTAGTGGTAGTGGTAGTGGTAGTGGTAGTGGTAGCAGTAGTAGTAGTAGTAGTAGTAGTAGTAGTAGTAGTGGTAGGAGTCCTAGGAGTCCTAGGAGTCCTAGGAGTCCTAGGAGTCGAAGGAGTCGTAGGAGGGGGATGAAAAGGAGCTGTAGCTGCTACTCGCTTTCGAGGAACGGATACACCCATTTCGTCCTCTACACCAAGTCAAGCTTGGTGCGGCAGTCAACTCCGGCGGCGTTGCTGCTCAGTGACACCATCGCCAGTGTGGCCAACATCTCCTTTCCAGATGAGGTGCCCGGAATCTCATGTGGCCAGAAGCCCCTGAAGTACAAGTGGAACGTAAGTAATTGCAGGCTTTCCTGACGCAAAACCCTACTAGCTCAGCGGTACTGGGCCGAAGCGTTATGGGGTTCCCACTCGAGTCGGCTGTCGGACTGACAGACAGTTATCGCATGTTGTCGTGCTTTCATTGAACGTGGGTATATGTAGGTATTGCAGGACCGCGCCGTGTATCCCGAAATCCCACAGATGTGAAGATTACAGCAGTTTACATTACCTTGAGATGTGCAAGGACTTAGACGCTTTGGAGATCGGTGGCTTCATTTCCTGGGACAACCCGAAGGAGACGACCTATGTCACAGAGTACATGCAGCGTGGGAGCACAAAGTTAAAGTGTGGAGTCGGACATGGGGCAGTTCAGGGGATGCGGTTGCATCGCTCGGGCCTGAGCACGCGAGCTGCAGACCCTCTAAAGCTTCAGCCGCCTTCACGTCAGGAACGCAAGATGTAGAAACACGGAGTAGCGTCCTGCGACATGGCCCTCATGTAGCTGCACAGATGCAATTACATACATACTTGCATTACATTGCATTGCATTACAGACATGCATACATAACATATCTATTTGTAATTATTTGTATATATATATATATACATACATATGTATACATATACGTGTATATGTATATATGTATGTGTATATATATATATATATATATATATATAGATCTATACACAAGTATATACATATGTATATATATATATATATAGGTACATGTATGTATGCATGTATGTATAAGTATCAGACAGAGGCGGACAAATCCTACGGCTGTGCACTTGTTTTCCTGCTGTGTGCAGAGATGAGTGGTGCAAAGAAGGGAGTGCATCCTACCAAGGATCTATCTGGTGACACGGGTGCCCGAGGATGAGTTTGAATACACCAGGATCCCGTACAAAACCAGAATCTCGCCACATCCTTGCTGGGAGTTCTTGCTGTCCTTAAGGAGCCCTCACACGTGCCAATGTCGCTCAGGACTTTAGCAAAAGAGCCTTGTAGCTTGTTCAGCCTCGCCCACTCTGAATTTCGAGCCGTGCCGAGGGTCTCGCCTTCCGCTCGAAATCCTGCACCAACGGGAACTCTAAACTCTTCCCACAAGCCCAGGACAACTCATGAGCCTTGATGGAAACGTCCTTGTCTCAGATTCCCCGTGGCAGCGGGACGTGCGTAGTCGTGCTCATAGGTAGGCACGGCCCGAAGCATTTGCATTGGAGCTCCGTTGGGGACCAGGTGCACGGTGCTTGGGCATCATATCCCTTGCTCTATCTTGCTCTGGTTTTAAGGAGTTGCCAACTACGTATTCTTCACTCTTACGTACAGGTTCTGTGACAAGATGATTCCAGGACTCTAGAATACTCTAGACGTATGCTGAGAGTTTTGGGCATCCCGAAACACCAACCTGGCCACGAGACTTCTGAAGCTTTATCCTGAAAATGAAGTCGGTGAGAGCAAAATGAAGGCCAACGACACAAACAGCACCGATGCGGATGTCAACCAGAGCGTTGAGGCCACTGGGCCGCAGTTTTTTTGTTGCTCTCTTAGGTTGAAGATCGGCGTGACCCTGGCGGTGCTATAGTTCCATCGTCTCTTGAAGGGCAGCCTTCGTCAGACCTTTGTTGGTCTGTGACCCTACAGTACATACATCCTACTATTTCTGAGGTCGACGATGACAGCAGCGAGGCTTCCGACCCCACGAACCCCGCGAACGTGACTGACAGCAGCGAAGACTCAGATTCCGATCGGCCCTCAAAAGCAGCTTCCCGGCTGGATTCACACTGCATGTTTTTGGGAAGTTTGCTGTGTCGGTTCTGCCGGGTGCGGTTTCAAGTTTCGCACTGGTCGTCATACCGGCAATGTAGCCTCCCCCTGGGTATTTGCCATCCCTCGACCCACAACCCTTGGAACCGACCGAGCCCGTACACGCTGCCCAACCTTTAAAGCATTTAGCGACTTAGGGTCGAGTTGGGGGTAAGGGCTCCGTCTGTGCAAACAGCGGCTCAGCATGTACCTAAGATCGTGGCTGGCTCCCTGACCTTCTTCTTGAGCAATGCCACGGCCGAAGAGGTGCAGGAGGCTGTGAAGGCAGGATGTGAGTGTCTGCACGGGATTGCTTTTCTACTTCCGTTTTGGGCATCTTGCAGGTTTGCAGAGGAAGGACATTCGGCACAAAGGTTGTTAATTGAAAGTTTCTGACTAAGTCACGACTGCTTGCTGGTCTACCGAGTCTACTGCCACTCGCGATCGGCTGAAGGTCACGTGCAACAGCTGTCCCATGATCTTGTGCTAGAGACCGCGGCCACGCGAACGCCAACACACGGTTTGGACAGAGGCTGCCTTGGAGCGAACAGTGCTGGTCAATGCCAGCACCATCTTCGTGCAGGTGTCTCAGGCCCGGTCTAAGCTCAACACGTTTGATTGCCGCTCGCTTCATGAGTTCAGCACGGCATTGTGGGTTCCAGTGATGCAGTAACCAGTATTCCTCCTGGCCGTTGAAGAGGCCTACACTACACTGGGTCTCAATGTTCTCAGGAAGGATGAGATGGAAAGCAAGACCACTGCTCGAGTCGTTTCGGAACTCAGCGAAACTCGCACTAAGTACATTGCACGGTCTGCATGGGCAGGTGGTTACTCGGCGCCTTGCATCATCTCGCCGCCTGGCGACTGCCTGGCAGGCAGTGCGGGGACATGGATACTGCAGCAAGCCTTCGGTTGCGGAGAAAAGCAGTTTTGAAACACTGATGTTCAGCAAAAGAGGGGTTCGTCTTGATTCCGTAGAATAATTCGCTTGTTATGTTCTCCGTCAAGCTGTTAATTAGGGACGTCATCTTGGCTCAGCCTTTGTCAATATCCTGCTTGGAAGGGACATGCCTCCCGGAATGTCCACCTTCGGTGTGGCTCCATCTTGCCATCGAGTCGAAGCTTCCAACTTTGAGACTTGCACTCGGCGCTCTTACGAAATCTCACCGAATTTTCGCGTGCGTCTATATTGTTGCTACGTGCGACCGGCTATGCATGCAGACTGCGCTTCGCTCACATCGCTCACAGCTGCAACATGCCCTTCCACACGAGAGAACGCTTGGCATTGGTACGTGCGGCGACTCATGTACTATCATATGCGGTGTTGGGGAACTCAGCACGCAGTAGAAGCCCAGTATGTGCAGTATGAGTGAAACTGCAGCAAATTCCCTGCCATAAGACCTACGACGAAAGAATCTACGTGACTGCCGGAAAATGTCTCCAATCAAATCCCGTGTTTCCAAGCCTTGCGCATGCCAGCGTTCACGGCTGGATGTCCCAAGCGCTCAAAAGTTTCAAGCGGATCAGGCAAGCTTCGAGATCATCGTGGGAGCAGAGGAGGTCTGCAAAGCCGACGTTTGTGCTAGCCATCGTGTCTTTTTCAGTCTTTTGCATGGGGTTGACTGCAGCATGCGTGGCTGGACACTATATAAGTAAGGAGAGTCTTGAGATGCTCCATTCCATCCCCAAGAAGTCAGCAGCGCTTACAGCTCGAAACGTGGCCCTCGCCACCGAACGAGGAAAGTTTTCTGTGATCAATTTCACGAGGATTTGCGGGTTTGTATGCCGCAGTGTGTGGGGCTTAGAATGTTCAGCCGGTCGGACATCTTTGCCCCGTTCTTCCGAGATAATGCCAGTAATTACAGGCTGCAGATCCTTAGACCTCTAACTCCTGCAAACTGCGCCAGGGCACTGCAGTTGAAGATGCACTGCTGGCCGTAAGTGGTGTGCCAGCTGCAGAGAGCTGCTTCATGGTTTTTGCAGGATTGGTTCGGATCCTCGCAAACAGCCGTGCACGCTTTGTTCAGTAGCAAGTATATGGAGGGCTTGGCATGCTTCGTGTTCCGTGTACAATGAGGCGACGTCGCTCCGTTCCGGGACATTCTGTCAGAGGAGTCGCTCGCCTTTCAAGCGTGGCTGCAACTCAGCCACTGCCGTGGCACAGGAAGTCCGCCTGAGCTGCGTTCGGACGCGTGATATGTCCTGTCGGAACTTGGTGCATTTTGTGAGGCTTGCTGCGCAGGGAGTAGATCCAGATGCCGCCAACGCACTGACGATCCAGACATTCGCACAGCCAACCGAGACTTGGCTGGCAAGTCTGTTTGCCTGGCTGGGTTTTCGTGTTCCTTGGCATTTTGAAGGTACTCTAGGCTTAGGGATGGTTCTGTAGGAGCGGCCCGTGGAGAAGATGCAGACGATTGCAGACTTGTGAGATCTGGCCCACGACTGCCCTTGTATCCATAATTCGCACATTGTTTCTCAGGTCACACTTGGCGAGCTTACCACCACAACCACGGTCACCCTCACTAGCACTACGGTGTCCAGTGCGGAGCTTGGGACATTTCTGCGGGTCATGAGGTCTTGCGGGGAGGAGCGTCGTTCCAGACCGGTTAGCGTGTACATGGTGACAGAAGATGAAGAAGCAGTATTGGAACGATGTGAGTTTTCCCACAAACCTCTGCACCAAGAAAGATCGGATCTCGAGGCACCACTACAACCATAACTATGACAACTACCAGCCGAACGGAAACGACGAGTTCTACAACGACCACCTCGACGTTCACGGGCACCCTCACCTCCACGACTTCCTCCACCACGACTGCGGGTTTAGAAGCGTTGTTGATCCGTGCTCCTGTAGGTTGAGGGCCCAAGTTAACAAGAGTCATGAGGCCAATGTGAAGCCAACGTTCCCTGCATGGATCACTAAAGCAGCTTCGAGTTCGGATCCCTTTTTTTTCTCGTCAGTGCCCTTCTGACAGCAGTTGAGCATCGTCAAGGGGATGGGGCTTGACCATTGCAGGACCAGCACTACGACCATGGTCGTGTACTGGTTTCGATGGCTGGTGGCCAGTGTGGCTTGGCTCGGTTTCGCCTGGGCCATCTGCACCAACCTCGAAGCCCAACAGCTCAGATCCTGAAGCCTGAGCACAGCCATGCAAAGCCTGAAACCCCGTATGTAACGCCTAAGCCATAAAACTCAAAGTCGTGAGTCGCTGAACCCTGCACTGAATGCTGCAGGATACAATCAAAGCTCCTGTGCCGCAGGCTTCAGCCGACCAGTCCAGTGTCACCGTGCCCGCAGACACTGCTTTGGACACGCAGGGGGTTTAGTGTTTGGGAGTGGGCTGTTGGTTGCAAAGCGGAGGCTTGTAGGATCTGCGGATCTCAACGGAGAAGTCTGGATGGCGGCAATCTTTGCATTGCTTTCTGGAGTACTGGTGGTAGTCTAACACGGAACCCACTGTGAGGAGAATTTCACGCACATCTTGATCTACACGAAGTCTTCCCTGGAAGAGCAGACAACACCCACTGCCTGGAGCTTAAGCGTTGCGAGTTTGACGCAGCTGCGTGTTCGATGTCTGTGGAGAACATGAAGGAATGCGGAAAGGGCCCCGGGCCGAAGGTATGCGAACATCACAGCGACAGCGCAGGCATGC